ATATATATATATATATATATATATATATATGGAAAAATGCTAGTGAGAATTACAGCATTGTGAGCAGTTGGTATATGTGGGAGATGAAAGCTTGCACACGACATGCACACTTCCCACGTGCTCTCAAAAGCAGCCATGCAGGGTCGTTTGGCGAGCACGTGCCCCCAACTTCCCCGCCCTGCCTCTCTTGTCCTGCAGCACCAAGGCCAGATGTCCTGGGGGACTGGACCTTCAAGGCCACATGGAGGTTGCTGAGACACTCACCGTGGCAGGAGGTCCGAGACCAGGGAGTTGGTCCACTCTCGGAGAGGGCAGGACGGGGCTGAGACAGATGCACAGAGGTGTGGAGCCCAGGGCTGTGAGGTCCAAGAGGGAGATTTCCTGTAGAACAGCTGAATTCCCTGCGCCTGGTTTTCACAGCATCCCTTCGGGCCTCATTCTAACATCACCTTTATCGGAACTGCCTTGAAAGGATTTCTGCTTCTTGCAACCAAATAATTACGGACCAGACAAATTAGGAACAGAATTATTTTAAAATTAGTGTTATAAGAAAATTCAAAAGAACCTACAAAGTATTAAATTTAGTAAGAAAAACTGAGCAGGAGTGGTGAATACAAGGTCAATATACAACCATATTTCTGTAACAATAATTAGTAAATAGAAGTTTTAAAATTATGCTATTTATAGCAGCATAAAAAATATCATGTACCTAGGAAGATAGCAAAGTTATACAAGATGTCTGCACAGGAGACCAAAAATTGTTCTGAATATTTAAAAATCATAATAAGTGGAGGCATATACCATACTCATAGACTGGAAAACGGCATTCTGAAAAGACACCAACTCTCCCTACAATGACCTTTAGATTCAGTGCAATCTCAATCCAGTTCCAGCAGGCTTTTCTCTTGGAGTTGACAAGCTGATTCTGAAATTTCCGTGGAAATGCAGGTGACCAAGCAGCCAAGGCAACCCTGAGAGTGTGCGAAGCTTGGAGGACTTAAACTCTGGTTTCATCGTCTCTGGCTGCTCTATCAAACCCGCAGACGGAGGCTGAAAACATCAGCATTTCTTCCTCACAGTTCTGGAGGCTGGAAGTCCAAGGTCAAGGCCCCGGCAGATTCAGCTCTTGGTGAGGACCCACTTCCTGGCTTGTGGACAGCTGCCTTCTCACTGCGTCCTCACGGGCAGATAAGAGGAAGGGCTTTGATCTGTTATAAGGACCCCACTTCCATCATGGGCACCCCATCCTCATGATCTGATCTAAGCTTAATCACCTCCCAAGGGCCCCTCTTCCAAATACCATCACACTGGGGGTTAGGGACTCAACATACGAATTTGTGGGGGGTGGGGGGACACAAACATTCAGTCCAAGACTGGAACAGGACTAGACAAATAATCTAATAGAGTCCAGAAACAGACCCCATATACATGTCACCCGGTTTGTAACAGAGGTGACACTGAATGCAGTGGGGAAAGAACAGTCTACTCAGTAAATCGTGCAGAGTGCAGTGGGTGTGCACCCGGGAAGAGATGTGACCTTGTTCTCACACATGGAAGTGCAAACCAGGATGGCTGGGCATCCTCAGACATGATGAGTGCCCTGCTGTGAAGAGGAGAGGAACAGTGTTCAGAGACAGAGGGAACAGAGGTGATAAAACCAAAGTCGGGAGGACGCCCAGGACTCCTGAACCGAAGCAGCGATCAGGTGGAGTGAGGGGCGTCCACCCGCGTGGGCAGGCTGGTGGTGAGGGCTCAGGCCCGCGGGACGCAGGGGGGCCTTCCAAGGCCAGAACAAAACCCAAACCCAATCCCCCTCCACTCAAGTCCTTGAGTTTGCTCGCTGTGGACTGTATCAATGCCACGGACAGGGCGGGGACCTTGCAGCTCGCATCAGCTCTCACGGTAACCGGTAAAGCAGGCACTCTGCAAGGTCAGCTGTCCCAAAGCACCCAGGATGCTTTCAAAAAGACCTGGGATTTTGTTGTTGAAAGAATTAAAGAAGATCCAAATAAATGGAAAGCCCCTGTTCATGGACGGTATCACTAAGATGACAATTCCCGCCCCCCCCCACACCCCTGCCCCACGTTAATCTACGGATCTGACATGATCCCTTTCAGAAGCAAAGATGGCTTCATTGTAGGAACTGCCAAGCTGATCACACAGTGTTGAAGGACCCACAATAACCAAACAATCTTGAAAAAGAAGAACAAAGTGGGAGGACCCTCAATTTCCAATTTTAAAACTTAACTAAAAGAAACAGAAATCAAGACAGTGTGGTGTTGGCATAGCATAGACAATGGATCAAGGGAATAGAACTGAGAGCCCAGAAGTAACCCTATGTGTCTACAGTCAACTGATTTCAACCAGGGACCCGGGACCACTCAGTGGGGAAGGACAGTCTCTTCAACAAACGGTGCTGGGAGGACTGGACATCCACACACAACAGAATGAAGTTGGACTCAGCTCCCACCACACACAAAAGTTAACTCAAAATGGATCAAAGGCCAACGTGTAAGAATGACAGCTATGAAACTCTTAAAACACAGGGGATGTGACACGAATTTGCCAATTGTGTGGGAAGCAGTGGATGTGACACACATCTTAGATGTGACACCACAATCATGAGCCACAAGACAAAAAACAGATAAACTGGACTTCATCAAAACTGAGAGCACTTATGCTTATAAGACACTATGAAGAAAGTGAGGAGACAACCCCCAGAATGGGAGAAGCTATTTGAAAATCATATATGTGATCGGGACTTGTGTCTAGACTACAGAAAGGACACTTACACACACTTACAAATAATAAAAAGACAAAGGACTCAGTTTAAAAATGGGCCAATGATCTGAATAGAAGATATAGAAACAGCCAACAAGCACATGCAAAGATGGTCAAAATCATTAGTCATCAGGGAAACGCAAATCAAAACCTCAATAAGAAGCCAGGATGGCTATAATAAAAAAGTCAGACAGTAACAACTGCTGGTGAGGACGTGGAGAAATCAGAGCCCTCGGACACTGCTGGTGGGGATGTAAAATGGGGCAGCCCCTTGAAACAGCCCAGCCGTTTCCCAAATGGTTAAACGGAGTGACCATATGACCCAGAAATTCTACTCACAGGTATTTACCTGAAATAAATGAAAACATATCTTCACATAAAAACTTGCATAAGAATGTTTATAGCAGCATTATTCATTATAGCCAAAAGGTGGAAACAACCCAAATATCCATCCTAAATGGATTTTTAAAGTGTGGTGTATCCATGCAGTGGAATATAATTCAGCCATAAAAAGGAATGAGGTACTGACACGCTACAACATGGATGGACTCTGAAAACATTTTGGTACGTGAGGGAAGCCAGTCACCGAAAACCCCACAGGTTATATGTTTCCATTTATATGAAATGTCCAGAACAGGCAAATCTGTATACCCAGAAAAGAGACGCGCAGCTGCTCAGGGCTGGCAAGGCGGGCAGGTGGGAGGGTGACAGCTAAAGAAACATGGGAGGGTTTCTTTCTGAGGTGATGAAAATGTTCTAAAATTGACGGTGGGGATGGTTGCACGTATCCGGGAATATACTAAAAACCATTGAATTGTACATTTTCAATAGGTGAATTGTATGGTATGTGAATTATTTCTCAATAAAGCTGTTATAAAAAAAAAGTCCTGTGGCTTTATCAAAGCATTAAAAAAAATCAGCATTGCTCTTCATGGAGAATGTTTCTTACGGCTTTTGGTTTTCCTGGGAAACGATGTTTCCTGGAGAAAGTTGCTAGGATTTTCCCCGGTCAGCACGCAGGACCCTGTGGGGCACCTGCAGGCTGTGCCCTCAGTGCGGCTCTTCCTGGCCATCCGGTGCCCAGGAGGGCAGCCCACCTTTGTCACCTTTCTCCTTAACACTTATTCCACTAAATTAAGTAGAGGCTTTCCTGAATTAACTCCTGTCCTGTCACCCCCGGGACCATAGGCCCCTGAGGAGGGGGTTTTCCTGCCTGGATTATTGCTGCACCCCAGGACCCCAGCTTTTGCAAACCAAACTTTCAAGGAAATGGTGTTCTTTACCATGCATCCAACCACTGCAGGGGGTCCCTACCTCGGGTCCGTGACCTTGAGTGGGGAGCCAGCACACCTTTAATTTCACCAACTTCTACAAAGGTTAGCAGTTCCTTCCATCAGAAACAGAGGCGACAAGCCCCAGGAGTTGTAGCCATTCCAGGGACTTTTTGCAGAGATGCCGAGAGGTTGTTTCTGGTTATGACAACTTCTGAATTCTGGCAACTGGCAGACCTGTGGCTAGATCTTCTCACTTAATGCATTGATAATAAGAAGCAGGCGTATACCACCACCACAGGTTTGACTGTCAGTGTTCTGACAACTATTCAATGGCATTCATTTTCCTTGTAAGCCCATGCATTTTATTTTATGCACCTAAAAGCACATGTCTTGTTCTGGGACAGCACCCACCGCACAGGAGACTGAGGCCCCTGCTCCGAGGCTCAGGGCGTGTGGTTTACTCTTGCTCCATGTTGGCCTGTTGACAATTCAGTTTTTTATTATCTAGTATGATTCTGCTCCACAGTAAGGAGATTGTGTGTTAGTTTTTAAAACAACAGAGTAACAAAATATGGCCCTTCAACTTAACAAAACTACAGGAACCCCTGAGTTAGGCCCACGGCCACTCTGCAGGCCAAGGGGCTCCAGACTGTCAGCTCCATTCAGCGGGTTTGTGGAGGCCTCTCACATATGTTGGGGTGATGACTCAGGCCTTCATGTGGACCAGCACTGAGGGGTTCAAGCCCCAGAGACGAGTGAGGCCAGCACGGAGCCCCAGGCCCAGGAGGAGGACAGTCGTGGGGATTGTGAGCGTCCCACAGCCCAGCAGGCACTCCAGTGGGGGGAATGGAGAAAGACCTCCCAAAGCTGCCCTCTACACTGGGCCCATGAGCAGTTAGTGGGTGAGAGGCTGCTGGGTCACAGCGCTTCCTGCCTGGCTCCTCTGAGTAACTGGCCACTTCTGAGGGGATACGGACTGGACAGCACTCGGGCTTTGGGGTCACAGGGCCTGGTCAGAGTCTACCCCGCTCTGAGGAGCAGCGACCTTCAGAAAGACATCCCTGAGACAGGAGCCATATCACTGGCCGCAGAGGCTGCTGCAAAGCACAAGCCAGGGGCCCCATAAACTTTGAAGTGCTGACCTCGTGTGCTCAGGGCCTGTGCTGCCTGTCTGGGGTCGCTGGGTGGCTTCCGGACATCTTGTGCCCAGGTCTGATCCGTGCGGGGAAACTAAGAAAGAGATAGACAAGCAAAGGTGTTAAATGAAGCATCTGTACAGGTGTCGAGGGATTTTTATTCCAAAGGCAGTTCTAGGGGCAGCTAACACTTCTTGACAAAAATAAGTTTCTACCAAGGAAGTTACGGAGCAGCCATGAAGCAAGGTGCTGTAAGTCATTCGTGGCGGCTGGTCCCCGCTAGGGTCGCAGGAGAGGCTCAAGGACCAGGGGGCAGAGAACCAAAGGAGAAAATGGACCTCGAAAAACACCACTGTGCTCAGACACTGGAAGGCCGCTGATGCGTTTCCCTCCTTCGTGAAAAGCTAACGGACAGTCTGAGAATTCAGTCCCTGAATCGGACCTTTAGGGAGAGAGGGAATGGGAGGGAGACCTGGTTACCCGGAGACCACCACACCCTCCCGAGCAGCCCGCAGGCCCAGGTGAGACAGGTGAGGCGCTGGGACTCCAGGCATGTTGCTGATTTTAAGGCTGGGACAGTGGCAGGTGGAGACCCGCCCCTAGACAGAACTGCTGCCCATTTAGACTCCTCGGCGTGGGGACTGGAGCCAGGCTGTGGGGAGGACGTGTTGAGGAGGAGGATGTGTTGAGAAGAAATGCAAACCAGGTACTCCGACACCCAGCCAACATCACCTGTGACAGCCTTTGCCAGAGGTGGTCTTCCTGGGTTGCTGTAGAGACCAGATGGCTCATCTGAGGATAAAGCATCTGCTTGTGCCAAGCTGATGAGCTATGCCGTTTAGCACCAGTTTGGCCCTCTGTGGGCTGAGCCAAACCTCCGAAATAGGCCCCAGGGTCTAGCTGGGTGTAGGAGCCTAGCGGCCAGGGTCTGCCCCAGCGAATCTGAAGTTCACTGCGGACGCACCCATTAGGGCCCCAGCACCAGGGTAGCTTCCCAAAATGGTTGCAGATGGAATGAGGGTATCTTAGGTGCGGGCAAGAGTCCTGCCAAGAGCCTGAGCCACAGTGTGTGTGCACTGAGAGAAGGTGTCACTGTCACAATTCGACACGTCAGAGATGCTGCTTTGTGGCTTTGTTGTAACTGAACCATCTTCATCAATCCCGGAGATTAATTGCTCAGCTCGCCTTGAGCGCATGCTTGCTCAGACACCCCCACTCCCGGTGCAGGATGGCATCTTCTAATAACTGCAGAAACAGCAGGAGAAAGCCAGCGGGACCAAGTAACCCTCGCCACCTGAGACGCACCGTGTACCATTTTGACACATAGTTCCATTTTGCAAACAAGCGTGGTTATGCGCTAGAATTCACGTGACAGCTGGAGTAACGAGGAACTTTCGGAGGACGGGCTTTTCAGCATCAAACTAAAGAAGTCAGTCAATGGCTCTTGGGCCTCCGATGCCGCTCGTGGGTAACCAGAGTCGACTGGCTAGGCAATAGATAATGAAACCCGTAGCCACGGAGCACTAAAAAATTAATTGCATTTCATGAAACTGTACCACAAGTTGCCGAACTAAGAAATGCTTTATGGTTCGGTTTTCCTTCTGCGTTGAGTCAAGGAAGTGGCGTCGCCAAGGCTGGGACAGGGAACAGGTTTGTTCTCCATGTGATGTTTGCGGCTGCCCCACCAGCACTAAGTGGCCTGCACATCAGGGCGGATGAGACGTGGCTCATTTTAACCCTAATGGATGCACAGGAAGACCCCCGTCTTCCTTGTCCTAAAAACCCAAGCCTAATTATCCCAGTGTCTGGGGGCTCGGTGCTACAGCTGCGGACGCCACCCCACTAGCTCTGCTTTGTGAAAATGCTTTTCTTCCTCAAAGACCTCATTTCTTGGGCATGTGGGACAGACTGTGCACCACACTCAGGGGTGATGAGCATTTGTGGGGAGCCTGTCATCGTCCAATGTTTAGAGGCCACGATTAGGCAGGCCTGCTCTGAGTGCAAAGTGGGGGAGCTTAATTTGGGGGAGCTGGGAGTACGGGCTGATGGGTCTGGGATCATCTTGGGTTTGCTCTGACCAGAAAGCTCGGTGGGGGTGGGGTTGGGCAGGACTCGACCCAGAGAAAGTGGTCCTGGTTGTTGCTTTTTCCCCTAGAACTTTTCTAATCAGAATGGATCTCGCTGTCAGGAAAGTGAGAGGCCCTGAGAAGTGAGCTATGGTGGAGGCGATTTCCAGGACGTGCAGACCGGCGGAGCCTGGTGCACTCGGACTGTTTTTTTTTTTTTTTTGAGTCTAACAAGAATCAATATTTAAGATTATGCAATGTCCATACCAGCCCGCAGGAGCTGCCAACCCAAGGACAAGGGCTGCATAATTTACAATGCAAGGAATCCGTTCTTTTTGAGAGGGGGGAAGGGAAAAAATCAAGATTTAAGCTTTCTATCCTGGGCTGAACTTTTTCCTCCATTCTTAATGGCCCCAGACGTAAATAAACCATCCATTTTGTTTTGTATGAACGGTCAGGCTCCGAGAGCCACGACAGGCCAGGTTTAGCTGCCCGACCACAGGCCTGAGTCGGCTGCTTTGTCAACAACTCTCCTTTACATTTTCCCACCTTACAGCCTGGTCCAGACCTGCCTTTAGATGCTTTTGCCCCGACAGTCAGCAGAGAAAGCCTTTTTATTGTCAGCTACTAATGGCTCTCCGGTCCCATATTTTTAATGTGAAGATTAAATATTTATGAATGCCTCGTCAATAGCATCCCCTAAGCGGGCTGTCCCGAAGCCGCAGACGCGGGCCGTGCTCACTCACATGAAGTCGGAGGTCACAGGTCAAGAGAGCTGGCAGCAGCGGCTGTGGACGGCATCTGCCGTCACCAGGACCCGGGCCGTCATTTATGGGGCAGGGCTTTTCCTCAAAAAGCCCACACCGCCGCTGGGGCACGTTTCCTTTGTCTCCAGTTACTGGAATCAGTGGCCTCTGCCACCCTAGAGGTTACCTGCCAGGTGACGCACTGGGTGACCTCCCTGGACACTGTCTATCTCAGGGTGTCTCTGCGGGAAGCACTGGCCCTTTCCTGGAAGTAAAAGGCAAGAGAAGAAGGGATTTGGGCAAAGAACAGCCGGGCAGGCAGGACACAGGGGCAGGGGAGAAGCACCTGGGTCCTGGGGGGAGGGGGCAGCGCCGCACTGACATCAGCCATGTCCAGCCATGACTCAGGGGCCGTCTCTGCTCCCAGCCCACCTGGCTACTTCCTCAACCTGCCTCTTTCCTTGCCTCTTGGTTCCACCAGATTAGACTCACTGTGATAATGAGAGGGCAGGCAGCTTGGGCTGCACTTTGACCACCAGCCGTGAACTGGCAGCTGTGTCCTGCATGGCGTGTGTCCATGACCTCAGGGCTGGCTGACCAGATGGCAGGATGAGACCCCAAGGTGGGGGACTGTGAGCTCAGGGGACGCCCAGAGGTGTCAGGGGCAGGGCCTTGACGGGTGCATGGACTCTGCCTAGTGAGGGGTGCTGCTCCCTGGCCAGTCAGCAGCCCACAGACCCATGGGGTGGGAGGGCGGCTGGAGCGGGGCCCTGGTGGGGACGGCCAGCCTGGGCGCCGCGATGTGGGCGGGGTTTGGTCGGAACCACTGGTGAATTTGAAACAGGGAGTGTGCACCCTGTGTGCTGAAGAATGTCCTGGGCCCCCTGGGGACAGGCTGGAGGGGCCACAGAGGCAAACCCCAGAGGGAGGGGACAGCCCAGACCAGGGCAGCCAAGGAGCAGAGCAAGGACACTGTGGGGTGAACAGACAATGGCAGGAGGACAGGGCGCAGCCCCCCCGAAGAGACGGAGCGGAACTGCACTCTGGCACACATGACCCTCGGGGACCCTGGAAGGTGAATGTGCTGCCACCCACACGAATGACGGTTCTTAGTCAGACCAGATGGTCCAGTGAGGGTGTCTGGGCCTAGGTGTGAGGTGGGGAGCAGGAGCAACGGGGCCATTGGGGGCGAGCTAGTTAACCTTTTGGGGCCGTAGTTCCACCCCCTGAGGAGTGGGGGCAGTGAGGTTTGCCAGTTTTCCTTATAGGGCTCTTAATCTAAATGGGACGGTGGAGACTGGTGTGCTGTGACGGAAGCAGGAGTGACATAGATGGGGTGTAGGTGACAAAGGGGCAGCCATGGCCTGTGTGTGTGGACACGGGGGGAACTCACAGCTCATGTCACTGTGAGCCCTGGAGGAGGACGGCAGCGTTTCCGTCTTCACCACCGAGTCATCGCCTGAGGCCCCGTCAGCATCGCGGCGGCACTGGGCAAGGTCCACACCCACCCGTGTGCTGGTGGCTCAGAGGAAGGACAGCAAATCACGAATGCAAATGCCCAGCTGAATCCTGCGCCCAGAACTTCCCTCCACGCTGGGCGGAGAGCAGAGGGCAAGAAAGGTCACCTCCCTTCCTGCCAAGGCCGCCCACCGGGAGACCCGAGACCCGGCCTGCTCGTGGATGCAGTGCTGGGCTGGCACAGGCAGGGCCGGGGGTCCCTGCAGGGGAGGCCACACCTGTCTGCCTGCCTCTGGAGGCCACGGCACCTTTCCAGGAGATAAACGATGTCCACACACGGGCTTTGCAAACTGTAAATGCTGCCCAAGTGTGAAGACTACTTGTTTCCACACATCAGTGGTGCTTGGACACTTCTCCAAGCTGCTGGGGTCAACGTGACTACAGCTCTCCCTCAAAGCGAGCCAGAAAAGACCCACACAGAGCAAAACTGGCACCAACGGGTTGGGACCAAAATGGGTGTGCAGTCCCGGGGAGCCGTGACGCTGCCCAAGTGCCCCCAGACCACAAACGCCCAGCAGGCAGGCAGCTCTGGGGGTCTTGCCTGGACACCCCGTCATCGAGGGAACGACATGAATGTGAACCCTGGACCATCAATGCCCACGTCTCCGAGACAGGAAGGCGAGAGGGCTGGGACACTGCTTCTCATCGGGGTACGCTGACAAAGCGACATCGATCATCACTGACACAGAACCGGTCGGCCTTCCATGGGGAGACAAAGCCCGCAAGCAGCCAGGAGGACCTGCGCCCCTGGAGGGCCAGGCAGGGGCGGCGGCGCTCGGAGCGGCTGTGATGATGATGAACACGCATTGATTTCTTTAGTGCCTCTCCGGGGCCCCAGAGCACTTCCTGCACTTATTGGAAAGTGCCTGAAACCAAATTGAAGACAGACCCAATGAGGAGAATGAATCCTAACGTTCAGGGCATCCCAGGGCTTCGGAGCAAATGGGGAGAGACAACAGGTTCTCCACTACCCCACTGCAGACACTTAAGGAAGATGCTCTGCCCACTCCGTTCAATAGCCTGCCACTGCCTTGCCAGTAAAACCGAAATGAAGAGGTTAGTGTCTATGTGCTGATGGCGGGGGCGCTCGGCTTTCAGTGAAGGACCTCCAAGTGGTCTGCAGACCCGCAGGCACTAAACGGTGCTCAGGGCCCCCTCGGAGAGCACACGGCCTCCTAGGTTCGCTTCCTTCCCCCTGGGCTGGTGCCCCGCCGTCCTCCCGCACTGCTGCCGGCCTGGCCCCCACAGGCGCAGATGGGGTGTGTGCCGTGCCCGGCCAGGGACACCCACCAGGCTGCTGGGAGCTTGCCAGAGCAGCATCACTCGACGCCCAGGCCCTCGGAAAACAAAACCACTGTTTAAAACTGTCTACTTGGAAATAATGTGAAACGTTCAGGAAAGCTGGCAGAATGGAAGCGGTATGGAGAACACCCAGTAATTCTTCTCCCAGCTTCACGTCCTGCCACCAGCACCATCACTGACCCCTGGCCTGCCTGTGTGTTTGCTTCTCAACAGCTTGGGAGGTAGTCGCTCACATCATGGCTTTTCACCCAAACACCTCAGTGTGCATCCCTGTGAGCGAGGAGCAGTTCTCAACCCCAGCAAGTGCAGTATTGACACAATACTTCACTCTACCAGTCGTGTTCCAATTTTGTCAATTGACCCAATAATGTCTTCAGCCCATGTCCCCCTTTCTAACGTGGGTGATGCCCAGGAGCAGAGGCTGCAGTCAGTTGTCATGTCTCTTTGTCTCCTTTCATCTGGAACATTCTCTCAGCCTTTGTCTTTTCCGACATTGACATTTCTGAAGAAAACACCCGGATTTCACAGCAGTTTTCATCGTGGGTTTCTGGGCTAGAACCTGCTTAGACAGAACCGGTCTCTACAGACACAGGGTCCAGACCCAGCCTCGCCCCTCCGGCTGTGGCCACGCCATGTTCATACCCAGTGGAATGTGCCATCTAGTGCTGAAGGGGTGAGGCCTGGGGGTGCCCATTTGAAGGTGCCCCCAAAGTGGGGGTGGGGAGGGCGAGGAGCACAGCTCCCTAGAGGGGCTCTTTTTGGCCCCCAGCCCTTTGGCCCAGACTCACAGTGTAGGTAGCGTTCCTTTGAGACATGCAAGTATCTGTGAGGCCCACAGACCATAGAATCCTGGGGTGCTTGGACCAACTCCTGGCTGCGCAGAACCCCTGGAATCACTGATGGGCAAGGATACTGAGGAGCCCATTTCACATTCGGCGGACAGTGAACTTGACCAAGACTGATAGTGACAGCGGTCTGGTTCTGTTCTTGGGACAGTTCCCCACGGAGCCCCATGGACACGTCTGCAGAACTTGGCAGGGTCCAGGGCGGCCCCAGTGAGCACAGCAGCCTCTGGACAGCCGCCTCCTCACCCTTATGCTGCCTCTGGTAACACACAGGAACGAGAGGTGGGGGTTGGTTAGAGGAAGCAGAGGAGGGGGTCTGCGTGCAACGAGGGGTCGGGAGACAAAAGACAGTCAAGGCCAACTGGTCAGGCCCTGGTCTGGGCAGACTCGGCACACTGGACCCTCAGCCCAGGGGCCCGATGAGGGGCCCAGCGCTCTCCCAGTGGGTCAGGGTCTCCATCTCCTAAGGCAAGACCACGCGTGAACATGCCGACGGAGGTGAAGGAACGACTGGGAACTGGGGAAAAGAGTGACCCGTGTTAGTCGTGGCAGAACCAGGGTCAAGACCGTCACTGGCATTTAACTTGGAAAATAGAAAACGTACCTAAAGAACTTGTAAAGATGAATAAAAAATATTTCTAGGTAGACTGTTGAAAGTATCAATTAACTTTCTGTAGCTGTGTAGGAGAAAATGTAAAAGAGAGAGGTGAGCCAAAAAAACCCCAAACAAACTTCTGTTTACAAGCAGAATTTAGAGGCAATATCAAAGAATCAGGACTACCTAGCTGGTTGAAAAATAAACGTATTTCACATTTTCAGTTTAACAGTCCGTGAAATATTCCTAAAAGAAGATGTGTTCTCAGAGCAAAGACTGAATCAAGTGTATGGTTGTAAGACCTCAGAAAGATTTAAGGCAAAAGCAGTGCCTTGTAGGCCCTCCCAACAAGAGAAAAGGGGCTCCTAAGAATCCGAGGGGCATTGTCTCATAGGAGCCTGACATATCCAACATATAGAGAGGGTCATCTTGAAAAGAAGCATGGTTGTGACTTCGGGGGGCATAGAGAAAACTAATACGATTCATAGGAGACCTACAACACTGTTAAGAGAATTATATCAATAAGAGCATCTTAATAGGCACAGAAAAAGCAGTGGATAAAACTCAAGTAATTCACTTGAAAAACTCAGCAAATGAGGATTGGAAGGGGGTGTCCTCAATGAGATAACAACGTTTACGAGAAACCCAGCTAACAGCATGCTCAGTGATAAGAACGTGAATGATTTTCCCCTCAGATGGGACACATGGTGAGAACGTTCATTCTCTCCTCTTGTATTCAGCACTGACTGGAGGTTATAACCAGTGAAATAAGCCTAGAAAAGGAAACTAAAGGCACAAAAATCAGAGAGGAAGAAGTAAAACTTGTTTCTACCCACAGGTGATATGATTCTATATGGAGAAAAGCTTAAGTGGTTGAAAAGGAAACTTGAAGGAGTAGTCAGTAAATGTTTTAAGGTTGTGAGATTCAAGGACAGATGGAAAAAACTGATTGAGTCAAGGTCATGGAAGGAAAGGCAAGCGTCAGAAACTCTCACAGGTTGGTGGAGGCTAAGGAGATGTGACGACTAAATGGGACGTGGTATCTTGGATGGGATCCTGGAATAGAACAAAACATCAGTGGAAAAACTGGTGAAATCTGACTAAAGGCTGTAGTTTGGTTAACAGCACTGACCAGTGTTAATGTCTTAGTTTTGATAACCGTACCAGTGTTACCTAAGATGTTACTGTTATGGGAATCTGGGTCAAGGGTATATGGGGTCACTGTATCATCTTTGCTACTCTTTTTTAAGTCAGAAATTATATAAACATGAAACGTTTAAAAATGCAAATGACGCCAGTGGCGGCCTCCTGAGCATGACAGAGTCTGCAGACTATGGCGGTAGCTCTGCCGTCAGGCCAGTTTTTCCTTCTGCACCTAGAGGTTGTCCTGGGAGTTCGCCCTTCAACTTCCCTCCAAAGACTCTGAAGCTACTTCATACCCTGTAAAGTCTCTTGCTGCTTAAAAAATAGTCACTGCTGGGAAAGTGAACGGGCACGCCACAAGCTGGGAGAAAATATTTCTAACACGTATAATCACCAGAGGAATTGCTTCTAGAATATATAAAGAACTCCTACGACTCAATATTGAGATGACAAATATAAAAATGAGAAAGATGCAAACAACCCTGTCTCTAAGAAGATATAAAAAGGGCCAGGAAGCACATGAGCAGCGCTCAATGCCATGAGTCACCCAGGAAATGCAAAAATAAAGCCACCATGAGATCGCACCTGACACCCACTGCGGGTAAAATGAGAAAGAATGACAACCCTCAATGCTGCACATACCGCCGGTGGGTGTGTAAAACGGCACACCCGCTGGGGAAACTGAAAGTGCCTCTAATGGTCAGTAAACACTCGTGAGCAGTGACGTCCCAATGCACACACCTGGGAGAGTCGCAGACGCCTGTCCATAAGACCGGAACAAGCACGTTTACAGAAGCATCTGCTATAAAAGCTAGAATGACTCAGCGCCCACCAACAAAAGACGAGGAGACACGTTGTGGCATATTCTTACAATGGAATATGAATCGGCAACAAAAATGAACTTGGGAATCGGCAACTACACAGCTGGAGCTCAGGCCGTGTTGAGTGAAAGCAGCTCTGATGCAGGGCGCACCCACGGAGGCTCGGCCGCGGCAGGGCCACGGCCGCAGATGCCGAGATGGAGCACCTGGGGAGCCGACTGACCGGGAGGGGCCAGGTGGGCAGTTCCTGGGGTGATGAGGAAGCTCCTGGCCTTCGTAAAAATTTTAAATTGTGGTAAAATATACGTAAGAAGTTACCCGTTTAAGTGTACAGCTCAGGGACATTAAGTCCATTCACAGTGTCGTGCAGCCATCACCAGCGTCCATTGTATGTATGTACCATGTTTTGTCTACCCATCCATCCATTAATGGGCACCTGAGGCTGTTTCCACCTTTTAGCTACTGTGAGTAATGTGCTATGAAATGGGCGTGCAGGTATCTGTTCAGGGGCAGTCCTGTATCTGGATTGGGGGGCTGGTTACACAGGGGCAAACGTTTCCCTCATTCCGTGGTACGCTTACTATCTGCACTGCCCAGTTCCCTCACACCCTGCCATGATAGGCCTGGGGTACAGTCCTCCAGTCCCTCTGCCTCCCCACCTGCTGGCCCCCACCATGGGGGCTTGGGAGGACAGCCCGCCCCACCTTCTGCACGAGGCCATCTGGGAGGCACGCTGCACGTCGGGAACGCTACACTTTCCAGGACATCCCGGTGGCTGGCCCCGGGCCCCTCGGAACTCAGGCCTTTGCCTGGTCACCCCCAGGTCGCAGCTCTTTGCAGCTCAGCCTTAGAGGCAGCCTGTCCCCTCTAGAGTGGCCACGACCGCCTGCAGTGCTTATGTGGCCTGTGCCATGAGCCGCCCCCAGGGTTCCCCACACGGAGCACGGAGGACACCAGGCTCTTCCAGACCTTTCGGGATGATCCCGCGTCCATATACTTTTTAACAAATTAACGGTGGAGTTGAAATAGGCGTAAGGCCCTCTTACTTGCCTTGAAGAAAGTTCTGTATCACATTAATAAAGAGACACAGTAGGAATCCTGGCAAAAATAATAAAAATGCAGCTTTGTTTGGAGAGGAGGAGCCGAAAGCGCTCTCTAGGGGATCTATGCCTGCTCCTGAGCTAATTCTTTTCTGAAATAAGTTTGATCTGTCCTCAGAAATAATTAAAGCAGCTTACATTTCGGTGAAGACAAGTGGAACAGCAGACATCCTGGAGGTGAGCCGCCTGTCTGCTGGGCACCATCTTAGAGGAAACGTCGCAGACCGTGTTTTCTCTGCCTCGGCCTTCCACGTGCTGGCCGCGGGGTCCAGTGTGCGGGCAATGGTTGTGGGCACCCCACGCTGTGCAGGCCCTGCGTCTTTTCAGACTGAGCTGCAGGCTTGACGTCCAGGAAAGGCAGCAGGACCCCTAACCCGAACCCCCAGTGCTCCCAGCGGGCCTTGAGCCGGAGCGGCTGCCCAGCCAGCCGGCAGCCGGGAGCCCAGAAAGGCCCCCATACCCCACCCTCCGGGGGATCCCGTACCTAGCAGAGTCCACGCCCAGGCAGGTCATGGAGGATGTTGGTCCTCAGAACAGTTTATGCCCCAGCAAGTCTGCAAAAAGGCTGGTTCACTGCAGGGCATTCAGTGCCTTCCACTGACGCTGAGTCCCTCTGGGTCTCTCTGCCTGAGGTCAAGGGTCAGGGCAGCTTTCCATCCTGCGACCAGTTGAGAGGGGCTCCCACCTCCACTACAACAGGCTGGCCGGGGTGGCAGAGGCGGCCGTGGGCTGTCCTTAAGTCTTTCAAGCACTTGCTGACTTTCCTGGTTGTTGTCACAGCTCCCTTGTCCTCCTCCATAACTGATCTTTAAGAATGGTGATCTGAGATACAAAGCACCAAATCTGACATTGGCTAACCCTTCAACGATATACCAGCATTTCGTAAATGTTAAAGCCTATACAAAAAACATCATGGTCAATACTATTAAAATGTTAGTATAAATGCCAGCGCAGGCAGGACACCCCCTTACTGAACTGCAGTAATATTTGTATCTGTGTAAAAATCCCGGAGAAGGCCTTTGCAGTAAAAAATAAAGTAAAATGATTCAGTCTGATGGTAGGTTGTGTTAATACTCTAAACCCAGAGAACCTTCCCTGAGGTTGCAAACAGGAACATATGGTGCCCATTTAAAATTCACAATTACACAGAGGAGGTCGGGGACGAAACCCTCTACTGAAGTCAGAGATCCAGTGAGCAGGGGCTGTGGGCAGGCTCCGTGGGCGTCCTCAGTGCGCTGGTCACCCCCGGGGGTGCTCACCACGGTTGGCCAAGCTCACACCACTCGTAGGAAAGGCTGGTCCCACCTGGGGGAGAGGCCCAGGGGCAGAGAGGTGGGCGCCTCCGCACCTCGACACCCTGTCATCGCTTCGAGTGCCCCTTCGCCGGTGACTGACGCAGCATGCGTTTCCCCCACTTTTCTTGCCTATTTATTTTTGGGGGTGGGGAACTAAAGCTGTATTTACTTGTAAGCTGATTTTATGTTTTCAGCACCATCTTTAGGTGTTTATAGGGCATCTTCCCTAAAAATTACCGGGAAGACTCTGGAAACTCTCTGGTTTTCACAGAATTTGCTCCCATCTCACTTCCCATCTGGTCCTGGGGACCATCGGTGACATCACATCTGCAGCACTTGCATTCGCCACAGTGGTTAATGGGACGTCATCGCTACTGCCTCTGAGAAAGATGTTGGGAGGCAACGGCAGCTGAGAAAGCAGCACAATGATCTCTCAGATCATTTCCAGACGCCGTCTTGGCTCAGAGGTTCCTAGCAAATTCACCAGCCAGGGGCCACCCTAAGTGACAAAAGCTCAGAGACAGTGACACTGGGCTCAGCTCACCAGATACAAAGCAGTGGCTTTGAAAACGAAATAAAAGAATTTTTTTTTTGAAACACATTCAGTATTGTACTTAAAGTGAGACCTTATTAAAATATTGTATCTTGTATGACTTCTTTTTTAAGTGTTAAATTAAAAACTAACATTTTATTATGGAGAATTTTAAAGCACACATGCAGTAAGCAGAACAGCATAATGTGCCCTGCACACCTGTAATCCAGCCTCCACTCCCATCGACATTCTGCCCTCCTTGCTTCTTCTGTGCTCCCACCCTCCGCAATCACCTCCTTTCCCGAGGTAAAATTTACAGACATTGAAACCCACAAATCCTAACTATACATGTTTGACAAATAATAGATACAGTCACTTAACCTACATCCCTATCAAGATAGATGTTTTTCATCACCCTAGCAAGTTCCCTCATGCTACCTTCCTAGATAACCACCCACTCTCCTCCGGATCAGACTTTGGAATTTTTTTTTTACCATGGATCAATTTTGTGTCTTTCTGAACAGCATGTAAATGAAACAATAGAGTTTGTGTTCGTTCGTCGATGCTTGGCTTCTGTCACTCAGCATAATGTCTCCGAGAGTCACCAATGTTGTTGCGTGTGATGCCGGTTCATTTCTTTTTATTGCTGAGTAGTATTTCATTGTGTGACTAGACCACGCACTGCTTATCCATTCTTCTTTAGGTGCTGTTTAGGTTGTTTCCAATTTTGGGTTATTATGAATACAACTGCTAAAGTCTTCCGGCTTTGTTCTTTTTCAAGGTTGTTTTGACTCCCCTGGGCTCTCTGTGGTTCCATACACAGTTTTTAAAAATCTTGTCAATTTCTATAAAATCTTGCTGGGATTATGACTGAAATTGCTTTGCAATTTAAGGTCAATTTTTGGAGAACTGACAGCTTAATGATGTTAAATTTCCAATCCATGAACATAGTATATCGCTCCATTCATTTGGGTCTTCTTCAATGTCTCTAAAAAATATTTTATAGTTCTCAGTATGGAGGTCTTATATATCATTCATTAAATCTATTTCTAAGTATTTTGGTTTTTGATACAACTGTAGTATTGCTTTTGAATTTTCCACTTGTTTCCATCTGTTTGCTGACAGTACATAGAAATACCACTGATTTTTGCATACTGGCCTTACATCCATGACCTTGCTAAGTTCACCTTATTGGCTCTATAGTTCTTTTCTTGTGGATTCATTAGGATTTTCTATGCACACAGTCAAGCCATTTGTAAAGAGAGACAATTTTACCCCTTTCTTTCCCATCTTTACAAATTGTTTTACTTGCTTCACTGCAAGGCTAGCATATCAGGTAAATATTGAAGAGAAGTGGTGAGAGCAGACACACTGCCTTGTTTCCCATCTTAGGGGAAAAGCGTTTCAACATTTCACCTTTAAGTACTTCATTAGCTGTGGGTTTTTCATGGATGCCTTTCATCAGCTTGAGAAATTTCCTTTTCATTCCTAGTTTGCTGAGAGATGTTTTAATAAATGAGTACTGAGCACTTTCAAAGGCTTTCTCAGCATGTATTGAGAAGGTCTTCTTTACTTTCTCCTTTATTATGCTGAAATGGCAAACTATTTTGGCTGGTTTCTGAACATGAAACCAACCTTGCATTCCTGGAATAAACCCTATGGCTTTATTAAGCTATGGCTTGATGCTCTTCACTAGTGTTTCGTGAAAGATTTTTTTTTTTTGCATTTATGTTCATAAAAGATATTGGTTTATAATATTTTTTTCTGGTAATGTCTTTGTCAGGTTTTGGTATAAAGGTTATTAATGTTTTAAATCTGCTTTATTCAAATTTTCACTACATGCGACTTAAATGTAAATATAGCCAGAAAGGAGAAAAGGAAATAATGTCTTGGTAGTATTACAGTGGCAGTATTATTATTCTTATTTTTGCATTGGGAAAAGGGCTCCAGTCTATAAAGCTGAATGAGACAGGATGGTGAGGTCGAGAAGCTCAGAGCTGACAAAGTGCTGATAGTGGTTTGGGGATTCCTCACTCCCCATTCATGATGCCTGACTGCTAACATGATTGTCTCCTCAAAAGTTTTCCTCTTATTCGGTTTTTAGGTGCAACAAGTTTTCCAGTTACAACAGAAATCACTGGAAAAATTGATCTATTTTCTCAAGAGTTAAATCTAATTAAATCTAGACAATGTTGAAACTAAGGCATAACAAATAATGTATGTAATAAATAACATTTTAACGGTGACTGAAAGAAGGGTTACCACATTACCACCATTGATCTTATCAGAAGATATGTGTTGAGGGCCTACTATGTGTGTGAAATGGCTGGGGAGCAGCAGGCAGTGACCCAGAGAGACACAGCCCTCCTTCTAAGGAGCCTGGAGTCCAACAGGAGGGCCATGTAGGGCTGGGAGGGAGAGTGTTGGGGACAGTGATGATGGAGTGAATGCAAAGCCGGACGAGCAGAGTCAGGGGGAGCCGGACAGGAAGAGAAAAGGGGGAGAGAAGAAGTGCAGTCATGGACAGATGGCTGGGCCATCCAGGAGTCTGGCCAGCTGGAGGTCTGCAGTTTGTCCAGACCACAGGTCTGCAACGAGTCCGGCTCGTTTCCTGTTCCTAAGAGAATTGGTCTTCGCCTGCCCTTCTGACACCCCTTCTGTGGGCTCTCTAAGCAGAGGCTGCAGAAGCAGACACCACAGTAACCCACTGGCAGTTGCTAGGGTAACCATACTCCAATATAAATAGCAGAGCAAATTAATCAGGGCCTGAAACTTGGGTAACTTCCTCATGTACTCGCTTAGTGGTGACAATGTAGGCGGGTTCCATGCTCTAGCCCAATTTCTAAGTGAGAAGAGAAAAATTGCAAGACCAGTTTTATCAAATACTCTGAGTCTCCTGGTTTAATCAGGATCATCGAGTCCACATGGGCACATCCAGCCCTTGGATGGATGGCAGGGGTCATTCATTCTGGAGGTCAAAGGCATCTTGGAGAAAGGCAGGTTCCATCATCTATGCCAAGCACCCTGTTTCTAGAACTGGGTCCCCTCTATAGACTTGTGACATAGTTGTTTACAAGTGCCCTCAATCCCACCCCCTGCTCTATCTTCATAGCGTTACTGTGACTTCAAATGTTTCTGACTTGCCTCTTCTTCCTGACCTTCTCCACTAGAATGTAAGCCCCATGGGCAGGGCCTTTACCTGTCCTGCTCAGATGTACGTCCCGAGATCCCAGCATAGCGCCTGGCCTATGGCGAACGCTCAGATCCATGTTGGAGGAATAAATCGATCCACTGATGAACAAGACAGCAGGTGTTAGACTCTGTAGACTGTGGGTCCCTTTGAAAGTATCCAGTTCAAGTCCCTTGAGGAAGAGAGAGAAACTTTAGTCAAAAGGCCTGATTGAACCCCTCTCCCCCTGCCGTTGCTGGAACCACTGGGTCTTGGCGAATTTTAACCTCGAGCCTCAGTTTCCCTGATATGACTAGGATGTAACTGTCCTCGCCTTGTGCCCTGGGGGATTGAGTGAGAAGGCATATGTCACAGTGCTGGTAAGGCTCTGTGCAGACTTGAGGTGTGGTCGCAATTTTCACAGACAGAAAGGCTCTGTCTACAAAGGTCACATGGCTGGTCCAGGACCCCCTGGTCTGTGGGGAGGGTTGCTTGCTGGGGTTCAGGTGTGAGCTTTAGATGTTTTGGTAGTGAACACTATTACAAAGGGGTTGGAGTGCATTTTTAAAAGATTTCCTCTATAATAGAGGCATTGACATGAGCTATTCAGGAGAGAAAAGGACAATTTTTTTCGTTTGGAGTGTCAGTAGGTTTGTATTAATAACCTCCTCATGAAAGGCTGTACATGAACTCTTTTGGGACATAACTCCAAAAGTTGACAGAAATTTGGAAATTTTCTTCTATTGTAATGCTGCAATTTAATTCACCGTGAATTTCTTTTCAAGTGTGGAATTTCTACACGACTCTAATAAGAGCAGTTGTGTGGGCTCATGAAAAATGGAAGATGGCTGATGGAGGTGCTCGGTGTAAATATTTAGTACAGGGGTTGGCGGCTTTTAAATCTGCATCTTGATCTAAATGTATCTGCTGATTTCCCATCTGCTAATATTTTCCCATCTGCTAAATACCTGCCATCAGGGGAAGAGGACGCCTTTGTCATTCCCCTGTTTAACCTCCATGTCCTTCACCTGAACTTGGAACTAGCACGTCTTCCTAAGAGCGCACAGTCGCCCCCCCCACCCCCCCCGCACCTCCCCTTAGGTAACAGTACTGGCCCAGGAGCCCTGCCAGAGAGGATGTGGTTAACTCAGGGGTTTGCCTCTGCAAGGCCACCCCTGGGTGTGGCAGAGCTTGGAGCCCAGGAAGTAGCATCTGTACTGGACATGAGGCCAGCCCTAGAGAATGTCTGTCTGTCTGTCTGTCAAGCATCCACTGCAAACAATGCAGTCCCCACTCCAAGGACACCGTGCCACTGACAGAGGTGACGGGCATTGGGATGGCAGCTTTGGCAGCAAGAAGCCGGCAGGAAAGCCAGCACAGCCCAGACTGGGCATCGGCCGGTGTCCAGCTCGGACCCGCCCTCCCAGAGGTGGAATGTTCTGACTTTGGCTTTGGTGCCCAGGAAAAGACTGGAGCCTCAGCGCAAGGCATGCTGTCCCCTGGACCGTCTTCAGCATTGGAACCGTGGGTGTGGGGACCCCCGCAGTGGCAGCAGCACCAGTCCTGCTCTCACATGCTTACCCCCAATGGGACGACACAGGTGCCCGACGAACTCCTGTTGGGCTGTCTCTCATTTCCACCATGGTGAGCTCCCCCTTTCCATGGTTAAGCCCTAGGAAGCCCAAGGGTGCCACCTACTCACCCCTGGGGCCCCTGAGAATGGACCGAGAGGGTGTCTGCAATGCAGCTGGCTGCCCTCGAGGGCAGGCCAGCACTCCAGGGTCCAGGCCACCCCACTGCCAGACACCAGGGACAGAGGAGGAAATGGCCCCAGAGAAGAAGAGTTACGTTTTATGCTTCAAATCAAGCCCATCCCATGAGGTGCCAACCATGGAGATGCTTGATTGATGGCAGCACATAGCGCCACTCAGTTTTGCTGGGAGCTTGCCTTCGTAGAAAGCCAGAGATGAATAAAATATATGAGAGCACATCAAATATAGTGCAAGGACAACATATACAAACAGTACATTAAGCATTATGGAAGACAATAAAGAGCTGGAGACACAGATCTGAGGTAGCAGCTGGGCTCCGAAGCCGGGTCCACGTGCGGATGGGAAGGGAACGTGGACGCTTCCTCGTGGCCCTTCACTTGTGGGAACAGCTCATTAGAGGAAATCTGAGCAGATTAACTTCCATCACCTCTTCCGTGCTAAATTATAAGTTCCTGGTTACACACTCAGCCACCGCCACCCCTGCTCGCTGGGCCCTGGGCTCCCCCCACACATGGAGTGCAATGTCAACAAAAATGCTATAGTGACATTTCTCTCTCTCAATTACATGTAGGCTTTTCGCTGCCAGTATAAAATACATATTGTGCTCTGGCGAGGTCCATTGTACCGAGGTCAGCGGGAACTCATTGTCCTTTTTGCTTCAGAACAAGAATACTGACATCTGTAAGATTTGCTGTAAATAATCCAAGTGGTACAGGGACAGGACGATGGGCAG